CCAGTTTTTACTTTTGGGAGAATAAGGATTTTTGCTTGGTGTGACCGAACCCCAGAGTAAGGCTGCCTACGTATCCTTTCAGAATAAGGTCGAACGTAGTTCAATTAACATGAACTTGTTTTGATTTTTGTTTTGTTTTTCTTCTGTTTTATTTTCTTTTGCTTCTTTTCTTTTTTCTTTATTTTCTTGTTTTTCTTCTTCTTCTTTTCTTTTTTTTTTTCATTTTTTTTTCAATAACACCTTCAAGTTCCAAAGAGGGTAATCAAAGAAAGGTAACCGGCTCAAAAGGGTTGGCAAAAATGGTTAATGGTATTTGGATAGCGAGAATGAAAGCATTCGTAATCCCAATCAAAAAACATTAATGTTGCATAGAGGGTCAAACATAGTACCTTTGACTGCATCCGCATTGACATTTATCTCGGTGACATTTCCTTCGATTTCTCCCAAATACAATGCTCTCTGTGGTAAAACTCTGATTACAATGTGGTCCTTTCTAATTTGGAGCAAATTTTCCTTTAGCTTCTTCATGCTGCAGCAGAATACATCTCAGAACAAGTTGCCCCACTTCAAGTTTCCTTGGTCGCACTTTCTCGTTGTAGGCATGGGCCATTCTTTGTTGGTACAACTGCTCGTGGCAAACTATAGCCAATCGCTTTTCGTCAACCAAAGTCAATTGCTTTAATCGGGTCTTTACCCAATCTTCATCCTTGAACTCGGTTTCAACAATGATACGAAGAGAGGAAATCTCAAATTCTACTGGTATAAGGCTTCAGTGCCATAAACCAATCATGTAAGGGCAGTTTCATTTGGACTTGGTTTTGGCTTGTTGTTCCAGTTCTCTGTTTATTTTCTTACTAGCCTTATCTTCGACACATTCTACTTCTTGATTCATTATTTCAAGGTCTGACAGCGTTTTAGGATCTGGGCATGAAGTCCGCAAGCATGTCATATATTAAAATATGCATTAAACGGAACTAGAAAGAAAGTAAGAAAAGTGACAAGAGTAAGAAAAGAGACATTCATGCACGATGAAATATTGATTTCATTTATTTGATTTTTGTTGTTGTTGTTGTTGTTTTATTTTTTTGAAAAAGATAGAAGGGTTTACATCAGAAAGTAAGACAATAAAATAAATATTCGGGTTACACCCTAAAATAACCCGTAATGCAGAAAAGACAGCAAGACCAGCTACCAAGACTCCCATCCGATAGAGAACCTTTCAAGTTTGGCGACTGTTTTTAGGATTTTCTTTCGTCGCGGCAATGGCTACAATGACTTTCAGTGCAGGATCAAATTCCTCATTATCACAGATCATTCCAACGACGGGCCCATTATTATGAGTAGGCAGAGGATTGTTCGTCACACTAGGGGCCTCTTCTTCCCTAAGAACTATTGACTTAACCTCAATGAGGTGCTCCACTGCTCTTTTGAGAGTCCAACCATCCTCAGTATCATGTCTCACTACTCCAGAGTGGTATTCACATCTACCATCAGCTCAGTGCGAGGGGGATTCGGGGTTCATCCGGTTCGAGGCCACTGGCCGCAGCAGACATAGCCTGATTAGCTTTTGGAAAAAACTTAAATATGATTCACAAATAGGGGTGAACTGATTTCGTCCCTGAGGTTCTCTTGGATGAGGATTGTATTGGGGCACATTCTGTTGTGGACGGGGATTATATGGAGCTTGGTAGGGACGAGCATTTCTTGAAGGTGAAGCTCTGTTTTGTGTACAAGGCTGTGTCCATGTGTAAGGTCGAGCATTCATCACTACATAGTGAGGTGGTGCCGCGACATATGCAGCATCATGATACCAACAAAACCAACCACCTAAAACAGAACCTAGGCTTTAGGCAGACACAACAACGTTGTTAGTTCAAAGCATTTAACAGATAGGAAATCGCACATTAGGATGCGATGCACCTAATAGTTAAACATTTCTATCATGTGTTTGAACGGTTGCGTGTTTCATCCCGGCTTTAACTTACCCTTTTCCACTCTATACCTTGTTTTTTCATTTCCTGTTCGCTTTTTGTTTTACGCTCTTCCTCTCTCTCTCTCTCTCTGTCTCTCTCTCTCTCTCTCTCTCTCTCTCTCTCTCTCTCTCTCCCTCCCTCCCTTTTTTCTGTCGTTCTTTGATTTTTCCTCTTTTGTTTGGTTTTCGCCTAATTTATTTATGACTTTGAACACATCAATGGGGATTGCCTACGTATCATGATGCCGCATAAATCAAATCATTACGAAGTTCAGGGAAGAGTAGAAATGAAGTAAATAAACTACTCCCTCTGTTCCAGTTTATGTGAACCTATTTCCTTTTTGGTCCGTTCCAAAAAGAATGACCCCTTTCTAAATTTGGTAACAATTTAGCTTAAACTTACAATTTAACTCTTATTGAGAAGCTTTTATAACCACACAAACACTCTAGGCCCCTTTTTGACTTCTTTAGGACCACAAATTTCAAAATTCTTCATTTTTTATTAAACTTCGTGCCCAGTCAAACAGGTTCACATAAATTGGTACGGAGGGAGTAACTCTTTTTTTGTTTGCTTTTTATAAAAACCAGACCATGAAAGCTTCAAGAAAAAGAAAATATGTTTTTTTTTATTTTGATTTGAATCATTATTTTTTTTTTTTGGAATTTTCGAAAGAAAGAAAATATTTTTTGGATTTTAATTTTTTTTTTGTTGGGAGTATCGAAAGAAAGACTTCTAAAGAAAAGAGAAAATATTTTTTAAATTTCAATTTATTTTTCTTTTTTGAGAATTTTTGGAAGAAAGACTTCTAAAGAAGAAAGAAAGTATATTCGGATTTCGATTTGGTTTTTGGGTTTGAAAGAAAGACTTCTAAAAAAGAAAGAAAATAATTTTTTTGATTTTTGAGTTTTCCTTTTTTATTTCTGAAATCGAACTTCTGAAGAAGAGCGAAAATATTTTTGGACTTCAAATTTTTAAATTTTTATTAAATTTACGAAAGAAAGTTTTCTAAAGAAGAAAGTGTATATTTTTTATTTTTGGTTTTAATTTTTTTTTGAATTTCTGGGAGAAAGATTTCTAAGGAAGGAATATTTTTGGGTTTCAATTTTTATTTGGGATTTTCTAAGGAAAGACTTCTAAAGAAGGAATTGAAGGAAAATATTTTTTAGCTTTTTTAAAATTGGGGCTGGACCCGATGAGGATTGCCTACATATCTCACACCCGGTGAGAATCAGACTCGCGTAGTTCGGCCAATTTTTCAAAATCGGGGAAAATGTCATTTTCAAAAATTCGGACTCATTCTGCAACAACCTTCTAAATATTCGATAGAGTTTCGGGGTTTTTTTTTCAAATACCGAGATTTTTAAGAACCGGGTAAATTTTTCATCGTATATTCTCTCTCCTAGTTTTTCTTGATTTTCTTTCCTTATTCTAGAAGTCAGTTAACATGCAAACTAGATCAAACAAATGCACAAGTAACATGTAAGATGCATCGGGATGGTGTTTTATTTTGGGGTACACCTATTATAGATGGACCCAACCCCTGTGTTAAGTCCCCAGAGTCAAATGCACGTAATGCAAAGGGATCCGGTAAGAGGCTTTGTTCTTCTAAGTTTGAACCTTAAGGTGTGGAGTTCTAGACAAGGCTTACCCAAGCGAACAACTCGAGCCGGGAGGGGGGGAGGGGGTAGCGTACCGGAAATACAGAAGCTTCACCGGCTTTGCAACGGGTCCGATCCTGGTTCTAAAACTAGGGGATGACACTCTAACGAAAAGAAGTCATGAGAAGCGTGCACTTCCTAGATGATTTAGAAGATTCAGAGAGAAGAGGGTGTCGTAACAATTATATATAGTTCACGACAATGTTAAAGTGGTAGAGAGTGACAATTAGCACATTAGGCTTAAATATGTAATATCAAACAATCACAAAAGTCAAGTATAACAGTTATTCTAAACTCGAATTCTGAACCCTGAACCAGAAGTTCATGGGTTCTTTTTCCCAGCAGAGTTGCCAGAGATGTCACACATCCTTTTTATAGGGAAATGAGTTTTTCCACTTTAAGTGACATTATTGAAATGGGATTAATTTATTTTATTATAAAAAGAGTTGCCACTTGAATAATTATTTACGGCGTCCCAAGTCGCCATTTATTTAAACCAAATCAAGGAAATTTTGACTCTATTTTTATGATCTGCGAACACAAAAGATCGGGTAAGAAATTCTGTTAAACCGGAAAAAGGTATGAGGCATTCCCGGATTCCGTAGTTTTAGCACACACTTTTTTTCTTTCACTAAATCTTTTCTATTGAGTTCCTAGTATGGTTTTAATGAGGCTTATAATATATTATTGGACATCCAATTAGTAGAAGTGTTCTGAACATATTTAATTTATGTGAATGTCCATGCGTTTTATTCGATGTACCATTCAGATACATGTACTTATATATGTTGTCACTTAATTTTTAGGATGTATCTTGTGAATTTTTAATATACTTGTATCTTACAAGAAGGATACACTTACATTTCAATACTACTGCTCTTTTACAATTATGTTACAAACTTAAAATAAATTATATATGATTTTTAAATGATTTGTATTTAATACCTAATTATCAAGATAAGGACTATCACGTGGAAACGTCCAGATGGTAGGGTTGGTGTTATGGAGATGATGTAAGCTCAAAAGAGTAAACTTTACCTAATATCGATTATGTGTTCAGATCTACTATTATTCATTAAAATTTTAATAAATTTTCACATAAATATATTATACGTGGAAAATATTGGATTTGGAAAAACCAGTTGACAGTATGTTGCATACGCTCCTAAGCAACTAGCAATAGCTAAAAAAAAAATATAGGTAATTACTGAACGATTTCTTATACCGTTATACGTAGTAATTATTTGACAAAAGTACTATATCATCCACGCTAGAAGTTTATTTTTGAGTACATAATATATAATACCCCTACGTCTATTCCATAAGCCAAAGCCCAAAGCTGGCAAATTAAAGCAGAAAAAAAGGAATAGATAAGATACAAGAGGCCAGAGCTTGTGTAATATATAGTAGTACCAATAGTTACAGAAAAGCTCGCAATTAAAAGTTGCCAGCAACAGTAATAGCAACCATTAACTCCTAGGAAACGGAAGGGAATTAACCATTCTGTTTCTGAGTTCAGATGGTCATTCTTATTTCATGATAAACACCAGAAGAAACGAGAAGAGACGTTCATATTACACAGCAGTACACATAATAATAATAATTAACAGTGTCTGGTGCAGAAGCAACGGCGACGGAATCCACGGCAGTGGCCACCGTTAAAGCCCTCTGTATGGCAAACAGACCCACAGTTGCTCTTACTGAAACACAGCCCCCTGAATCGGCGACTCTGCGACTCGCAGGTCCTCGCCTCAGCCACCATTGGTCCCATCTCTGTACATTTAATCGTACAAGAAAATTCAGAATCTAGAGTCATTGAGTTCAAAATGTGTATGATCGTACATATTTTAGCATGTTTTACATGTATATATAGTTCGAGTAGAAATCAGTAAGTTCAGTTCATCTTGCAAAATCCGCCTTAGGTCCGCCTTTGAATTTAACGTTAATGAAACCAATGCAAATTGTACGTGAAACAATTGATAAACCATATGGTCCATAGTGTAGAATATATAATCCGACTTTTATTTGACTCATTATTCAGCATGTTGTTCGATTGACAACGTAAAATCTAAGGAAAGAGTTTATAAATCAACAACAAATTAAACGTGTCCTATTTTGGATAATGGTCGGTTTCTGCACTTATAAATGGTACGGTAAGACAAATTCTGCAAGATCAACGTAACCAGAATAGCTTTGTTACATATCAAGAACCAAATAAGAAAGAAAATAAATTAATTACCAGTAGCAAAAACCAGCATCAGCATAAGGAAAACAGTTGCAAGCACTTTGGGAAAGCCAGCCATCTTTTTTTTTTCTTTAAAATTCTTTAATTTGCTTCTTTTCTGTGGTGAGTGAAGAGACCAGTACTAAATAGGTCTATATATAGTAGCATAAGCCACGGTGTAGAGGATGATCTTGAACCGTGGGGTATGTTACTTTGACTAATCTTGAAGGAAAAAGTAAAAGAAAAAACACACATTATCTGTAACAAGTCACAACCACTCGATCTCCACTAATCTCTGCTCCCCTAGCTTTTCACTTTTTTATTTCTTTTTTAAAAATTTAATTTATATAAACTGATAGTATATTTTGACCTTCTATAGAAGATTGCTTCCCATTTTTAAGATCATAGCCAATTAATGTTAATACAAAGAATTATCTGTCATCGCATTTCAAATAATCAGATGGTATAAATTATTTTTACACCATCAATATATGAAATTTAAATTTTATTTATTTATTTTGCGGTTGAACTATATATAACAAATTCTTCCTCAAAGCCTAAAGAAGTAAAAAGAAACAAAAAAAAGTACTAAAAGAAAGAAAAAGAATATACTAAAAAAGAAAAACATGAAGGTGTGAACATTCACTTTAGATACTTTGTAAAGGAGCCTTGATTGCTTATGAGTTGGAAACTTCTAGTTGGAAAGGTCAGATCATTTGTAGGAACGGAGGTGAGTATCCAACTTTATATTTGTTTCCTAACCCTAAATTAAGACATACTTTACAAGGGATATCATTTACTTTGAATTGATTCATATTATGGATAAATATTTAAATGGTATCAATATCAATAAAGTTTTTTAAAAAAAAAAATTAAAGATCACTCTATTGGTTTTATTTAATTTTATACATGCGTTTGATTGGACACGAAATCTAAATTTTTGTTGTTTCAAAGTTCAAACATATCATAACATTGTGACTATAAAATTTAATCATTTTGCGGAAGGAAGAAGTTTAAAGACAATTATTTCTAAATATAGCAAAATATAATTCTTTCATAAACATATTAAAAGGAATGAATATCATATAAAATGGAACAATTCTTTTATAATTGAGAAAAATGGTTTAGCATAGTAGAGCTATATACAATCTCTTCAACTTTCTTCTTCTTTTGTATTGTCAAATCAAATAAAAATAAATGAATGTTTTAAAAAAAAAATTCTGTTCCTTTCCTCTCCTACTCGTAGTTTCAAAAAAGCAAAAAAAAAAAATATATATATATATATATATTCACTTTTCTCATATGTTTTCTTGGTACAAACAAGAGCAATCGAGATAAAACTGGAATTCAATACCAGTTTCTACTTTCAAAGGGAGAATCAAATTTGTCAATAGTGTGAATAGCTACTTTGGAGAAATGCTTTTTGAAGTTCACCACTATTCAAGATCTGCGTGCCACAAAAACTAACGAAAAAAGAAGCCTCTATTATTGCCTCTTTCGCCTCAATTATTGCCTTTTTCTTTTCTTAATTTGTAGATACAATCAAATCTTTCTTTAACAGTATTGTTTGTTCCGAATATTTATTTTTGGGTGTTATAGCGAAGTGCTGTTATAAAGAACATATATTATAACATAACATGAAGTTTTGTTCCGGAAAAATTGACTTTTATAATGAACGAGTGAAGTTTGTTATATAAGAATTATTTAGAAAAGAAGTTTTGCCACGCATGGTCATCTAGGGAATAGAATAAATGTCATGGCCTTTGTTCATAATATAGGATAATGTCATGACCTTTGTTCAATAGTGGAGTTATTGAAGAATTTAGATACATCTCTCTTTTGAATTGTGTAACCTGATTTTTTAATATTACTTGAAGCTGTCTTTAAAAAAATGCTTATGACTAAACATATTATTATTCTATCCTTAATCTAATTTGCCGACAGTAGGCAAACATTGGTGGGCCAACAAGGAGCTAGGCTGAGGTATACACGTTCTAAATTGTTCTGCATCCAGGGCTCGATTGGTACGAGCGATAAAAAATAATTAATCCGAGATTAAAATTGATATAAGTTTATTCTATATTTTATTAAGATAAAATTGTGGTATAACTACACTAATAATTGAATTAACGAACTGGGTTCCAAGCTAAATATTCTTATATATTTAATGAATTTTTCAATACAAATATAAAATTTAGACAAAAATTACTGAGTTCACGAAACCCATAACTAATGCACCAGATCCGCCATGGTTGGGTTAAAATGGATGATATCATAATAGTTGATGCAAGACTATTCATTCGTTCAACTTTTTAAAAGTTGCTTGCTTTCGGAATAGTTCTTGCGCAGTGACTCCTAGATTATAGTGACTTTGGTGAACGATGGTAGGGTAAGGTCTTGTTCTCGAGGGTGTCAGCGCGGGAGAGGGGGCCGGGGGTAAGAGGTCTAAGGGAGCTATTAGGCTGAGAGTGGGGTCTTGGAACATAGGAACTTTGACAGGAAAATCTGTAGAATTAAAAGTCGATACCACTTAAAAAAAAAAATACGAACGTCACTTAATATTGGAGGTCATTAACTTTTTCGTCTTTATTTTTGACTCAAACAAATATCTTAAACCAACAATAATGTCGACGTGGACCTTATATGAGAGAAGGGCAGCATAATCTAGGAAGAGGAAAAAATGAACAAAAGAAAGTAAAAGCTAGCATAATTAATGGACCTACCCCTGAGATTAAAAGAGCTCGTAGCTCGTACGCACGGCAGGTCTAAGATTAGAAAAAGACACAGCAAGCTGGGACTGCATACAGCTTATTGGTGGTGGTCCATTTCTTATGATAAAAGAAAGAACCTCCTAGCTCGTGAAAGTTACAGGTGACAAGTGACAACAGCTTGTAATTGGGCAGCAACGTTTTCCTCACCATCTATCCCCACGATCAACTTTCAAAATGAAGAATAACTTTTTAAATTTAATGTAATGCTTGGAAAAACAAGAGAGGGAGGAATGACAATGCGTTGCAATTCATGTAAAAAATATTTTTTTCACTTGGAATAACTGTCATGACTCAGAATATCCAAGCCGTGACTGGCACTTAATAATCTCCATCTCAAGCTAATCATACCAAAAAATTCATAGTCTCAATTCAAAACGATAAGAAGTCTAATTGTATACGGTAAAAATCAGAGGGCTCGATTTTATGATCATTAGGGTGCCTCGTAGAGACCACCCTCGGAAGGCTCGGAGTTCGCCCCAAGGGTTCATAATGATCGACCTCGAAGCAGTGCAAACCAGCGGTTACGAGCGAGAAGTTCCCAATAGGGCTGTGCACGGATTAGATTGGATCGGATTTAGCATATTTCGGATTCGGATTTCGGATTCTCAAAAGGGCAATCCGAATCCGAATTAACATTGGATCGGATCGGATTTTAAATTTTTGGATCGGATAATTTTTCGGATTGTCGGATCGGATTGTCACAAAATTGCTGGTTAGGACTTAGGACCATTCATCTCCTAAAACACCATTCAATCAGAAAAAATCATTCATCTCCTAAAGCACCATTCAATCAGAATAAAAAAAATTGAGTGAATAAACACCATTCATCTCCTAAAACACCATTCAATCATATTGAGATTCACTGTTGTTGGTTGTGGAATCAGTTGAAGCATCTCTTTCACCAAAATTTTCAGCAATTTGAAGTTTATTCGGTGTCTCTGTCTCATTTTCCATCTACCAAAATAAAAAAAAATCAAAGTAAAATCAAAAGTTGAAAAATAGAACATGAAAGAGACATAAAAGACATAAGAGAAGGGAAAAGAGGCGGAAGAAAGAGACATAAAAATCAAAGTAAAATCAGAAGTTTGAGACTTTGAGTCTTTGAGACTCTTCAGTCTTCACTGAAGAGAAGAGAGGCGGAAAAATCTAAGTGAGTGAGGGGGTGTGTAAAAAATGAATAAGCCTAACCCTAAAATTCTAGTGTAGTATTTATATAGGTAAATATAGTTTCGGATTTCGGATTTCGGATCGGATCGGATTTAGATCATACCAATCCGAATCCAATCCGAAAATCCAAAATTTTATAAAACACAATCCGTATCCAATCCGAAAATCCGAAATCCGAAATCCAAAAATCCGAAATAGAGTGGATCGGATCGGATTTTGGATATCCGATCCAAATGCACAGCCCTAGTTCCCAAGGCACATGATCAAAGCTGACCAAGTCTATTAGGCTAGTTCAAACCCGTACCATGGCATTAAATGGCTGTACCAGCTCTATCTCTTTGTAATAAATGTATTCGTACTGTGTTGGGATTCCCCCTCATCTATAAAGGGGAACTCTGTCATTTTGTGAAAGGAGGTTACACAATATACAACACACTACATTCAATACAAGTACATTCTCTGCTCTCCAGCTTAAACACATTCTCTTGGTTTCATTATTTACATTTATTGCTTATATTCATTGTGTTCTATAAATTGTTCATCATTTATTGCTCATTATTGATCATAAAGAGCCTCCATCGCAGCTCTCATAACTGTTAATCCTTCATCGAATGCCCTTGTCCGGGCATCCGACTCGACCTCGAGGCCCCGTATACGCAAGCTCGAGGCCTCGATTCCCAACCATTCGGTTTGATTATTACATTGTCTATAAGCTATCATCTTACTTTCTAATCCTTTAGTTAGCATCAATTGCCTAACAACTAGCATAAGAACAGATCACGTATTTTTAGAACCACAAAATCAAATCTAATTGTCATTACCATTTTCAAGGTAAACAGTTTGGCGCCCATCGTGGGGCTAAAAATAATAGAGATTGTTTTCTTGCTGGTTTACTACATAACGCAAGTTATCTTTCACAGTTTTTCTTGTCCAAGATCTTTGATTTCAGGTCAAAATGTCTAACTCAGTAAACGCAGGTGAAAACAACAATCTTGAGGACCATGGAGAAAATGGTGTAGCTGTTCCAGGTGTTGGTGTACCACCACGAAACCCTGAGGATGCACCAAAATCAATTCCTATGGACGTGGTTTCGTGCAACGCTCAACACGTCGAAATAAGCTCCCACACCAACAGGAGCATACACCAAGGAGATCAACAAGAAGCTCAAAAAACCCCGGCTCAGGAAGAATAAGAGGTTAGCTTTCACGT